ATTTGGTACCACACACTTGGTATTTCGAGTCAAATTGTCGTTATAAATCGCATGTTACAATTTCAAATAAACCATATGCAAAACTGCCAAAAGTTCACATATATATGTTATGTCATTCTATTCAGAGTGCCATTTTCTATCGAATAAAGTAAAAAATACCGAGAGTGTCATTTAAGAATCAAAAGTTGTAGTCATTTCCGGTGAAACAGGAAGTGACCAAAAACAATTGAATACGTCAATCAAATTTTAAAAAATAAAAAAGTTATAGGGGTGAGCCGCTTTTTAGACACACCCGGTACTATATACCGGTGTCTTAAGTTTTAATTTGTTTAATTTAAATTGTAAAGAACCGTTTAATAAAATATTCTGTCTTTTTATAAGTTTTGATCAAAATAGAATAAGAATACTATGCCAACTAAGTGAAATTAGTCAAAAAAGATAAGAATTGGCTATAACTCAATAAATAAAAAAAATATAGCTTATATCGTTAAAAAGCTTAAAAAATGGCGCTTTTTATGAAGTTAGGGCCAACTATGGTTTTCATTTAAAAAAACATATGTTTGTGTCATATGTCAAAAATGAGGGGCTTTAGACAAAACGGAGTAAGGAAGTGATTATCTACAACCTTTATCTGAAAGCTTTTTGTCTAAAATAAATTATAAACCAAATATCTAGTAAGCTAACCAAATCAAATATCTAGTAAGCCTGCAACCTAACCAAATATCTAGTAAGCCATAATTTTTTTCAAAAATCCGAAAGGCGCATATTTATGATTATGACCCCACAAAACTGCAATTATTTTTTATTATTAATGTTGGCTTATCGTTTTTTATTAATATTTCTTTTATGTAATTTGTATTCTTGTTTAGTAAATTATTGTCTGAATATATTATTTTTCTCATATAAACGTTTAATAACACTTTTTTACACTTATCATTATCTCTAAAACGATATGGAAATTTGGAAAAGTATAAACGGGATTAACCATTTTGGAACAAGCAAAAAATTTTATGAAGAATGCATTTTTCTCAAAATGCTAATAATAAAGTTTTTTCTCTTCTAAAGACAATCCAGGGACATACTGTATAGAACTATCAATCATCTTGGGTTTACCTCATAAGATAATTAAGATTACTAAATATCAACAGAACTGTATTTATTTTTGCCAATTATTTTTGTAGTCCCTAAGAAGGATTCTGAAGGATTCACTATTTTTAAGCTATGCAATTTAACTAGCTAAATTCGCTGTATTTTCACTAACACTAATATTAAACATTAAACAGTTAAGTCGTGGCATAGCATTCCCTTGAATAAATAAAAACCGATAAGATTTACGACAAGACAAAAATATTACTGTTATGCTTAAAGGATATTTACGACTGGAAAATACTGACTATAAACCTATTTATTGCATGGCAATTTCGAAAAATTATAGTGGAGAAAATTAAAAATAATAAAAAATATTTTTATAGACGATTATTTTGCTAAATAAACCCGACTCAACCCATTAATTCTGTAGTAAGCCCTAAAATTAATCGTTAATTAACAATTAAGTTACATTGTTTCGAAAATACAGGCAATTAAATTAATTACTCTAAAAACGCGTCTCTTAGAAATTTAAAGGATCTACTGTAATCCGGGATGGATTTAAATTATCCAGGCAGCTTTTTCAATCGGATCCTAAGGGATTTGCAAAGTTAATCAAAGGAAAATATGCCACTTATAGAAGAGTGGTAGTTTTCAATTCATTTTATAATACCTTGGTTTTTGCAAGAGAAACACAGAAAAATATAAAATCAATTAGAAAAAAACTGAGGCATATTAATATTAGATAAATAGATTGTACAGAGTACAGATTACTACTTTACAGTTGTATACTAACTGTACAGATTTGTTTTAGACGCCTTGATTTCAGAAATAAAGAGCGAATTTCAAAATGTTGGGACACAATAGATCCATAATTTTCAAAATACGACTCTAACTTATGTTTTAAATGGGGTATATTCTATTTTTATTGTTATAATATTTCTAAAAATATAAATATAATAAAACGTATTATTTTTAACGTTTTAAAAGAGGCAGCCAGTTGGAATAGTTTTACAAAAATAACTGTATTTTATATTATAAAAATACTATATTTATAAAGAATTATTAATTAAAAATACGAGCTTCTCTAAAGGCTATATTTACATTTCTTGTAACAAGTAGATAATTAAATTTTTTCAAGCTTCCTAAAAATGATCAAAGTTTTTAATGTTTGCAATATACAGGGTGGTCCGAACTGTATTCCGGAAACTTCGGCAGTAATTCTGCAGATAAAAACAAGTAAAAAAGTTTGTATAAAAGTATGCTCCAAAATGCTTAGCTTCGGAGATGTAGACAGGGTGTAGAAGTCTCATTTTTATTTAGTTTTTTTCTAAATAATTTTTAAAGTAATGTCAATCTTTAGATGAAAATTGGTGTCTGGGAGTTTTTTGACATGAGAAATTTGATTTTGCTGGCAATATGACTCCTATTTGTAGGGGGCACCACCTACATGTATTTTAACTGTTTTGAAGAGTAATAACTTTTCGTCCGTTCCTGTATAAAACTACTGGGATATAAAAATATAAAGTTCCGTGATTTCTACGTAAAAAATGTCTCTTGGTAAAAATCGCTACGAGCAACCGTTCTCAAGACAGTTAGAATGGAAATAATCAATACATGTTATTATTGACAAAAAATATTGAGTGGATAGTTATTTTTGACTGAAATGATAAATTTTATTTTTATACTAGGTACTACGTCAAAAATATATTAAAAATATTTAATAAACCTTCTTTATAGTTACTATTGAGTGATTTGAAAAAAAATGGTTTATGAGAAACTTAAGAGAGGTATTAAATGGTTTTATGTCTCAGACAGATACAAAAGATATTTACTGGAAGCAGAATGATGAAAGAAATTGGACATAAAACTTATTGATTAACAATTAACGTTGAAGGAACCTATTATTTTTCAATATTAAAGGTTTTTTGTCCATAAAACTTTTATAGAAATATTGAAAAGCCATGCGTTTTCATTAGGAGATTAAAGAGTTTAATTTTTGAAGCCTGTGGCACACATTATGAGGCTCAAAGTGCTCATAAAACGATACGAAATAATTTTTTTTGAAGAAATAGCTAAAATTAAATTACCCTCAACGTTATTATAAATTAATGCCTAAGAGTACTATAAAAACTAGGTTTCTAAATATGGCACGAGAGAGCCAAGGAACAATCATGTTCATACAAAACCGACTAGTAGACGAACTACAATCGGATGAGATTCTGGGAATGGTCTCGGATCTCACACCACCAATCCAACTCTTGACGCGCACCTACAACGTCCTGTTTCCGAATAGGGACGAATGGGATAAGCCGAGAAACGGCTTATTACTTGCGGAAATGTGTTGGTACACGGACAGCAGTCCAAAGACTGAGATCTACCACAGTCTTGGAAAACACACCACTATTTTCCAAGCTGAGCTATATGCGATTGAAACCTGTGTGCAACTGCTGGTAGAACAGCAATACACCGGGAAAATAATAAGCATATTTTCGGATAGTCAAGCCGCGTTGAAAGCACTTGAGGCAACGAAAAGTACGTCCAGGACGATTCTTCATTGTAAGAAATTACTCAATATATTAAGAGATGGAAACAAAGTCTCGCTAATATGGATACCGGGACATGTCGGCCTAGAGGGAAATGAACGTGCTGATTCCCTCGCCAAAACTGGTGCAGGCCCGCCATTCGTGGGCCCAGAACCGACACTTAGCGTACCAAAAAATCTCGCAAGAGACAGGCTCTGTGAATGGGTTAGGGGTGTGACGTTTCGGGACTGGTATGACAGTCCCGGAATGGAATATGCCAAGACAATCCTAGCAGGTCCATCCAAACGTAGAACAGATGAACTCCTAAAGGCTGGTAGGAACGGAGCGCGTACGCTTACTGCAGTATACACGGGCCACTGCCGGCTGAGATCACACCTACAGAGGATGGGACTGGTGAATGCCGACTCTGTATGGAAGATGACGAAACAATGAAGGCACGTATGTGTACCTGCCCGCTGGGCAGGACCAGGTTTGGAGTGTTTGGCAAACGCACGCTAGACCTATCAGACCTAGAAGACATATTACCCTCGGACATAACGGCCTATGTTAAAAGGCTGGGTCTTGAGGGCGAACTTTAATGCTCTTTTTCTATTAAAGAGCTTGTAGAAACTGAGCCACAATAGGCCCTCGCGGCCTCAGTGGAGGGTCCCACCTGGAACTCACTCTTAGTAAAATACAAATACAATACTATAAAAACCCTTATGAATCAAAAAAAAAAAATATTGTGTATAGATACAAGGATAACACCATCTTACAGCACAAAGTCCAGTAAATGAAGGTTGAAATGACGGCTTAATTCTTCGACAAAAAAAATTGTAACACCACAAGTTTTGGCCGAAAAAATGGCCCCAAATGGCCGAAAAATCAGTTTTTCGCAAATATCTGCCAAAATATGCAATTTACAAAATTTCGGGCAAATATTCCTTGGCCCAAAAATTTTCAGATTTTTAAAAACTTCTTCATATTTTCACGAACAATAGCTTATTTATCAAGATTTTTTTAACAGTTGTTCTTTGAGTCTCTTTAAACAACTCAGAAAGTTTGTAGTATTTGTTTAATCATATTTTAATAGAAAACAACTATTCATGAGTGGCTTTTTCCTCTTTTGGGGGATTTCCGGAAAGTGTCGTAAACAAAAAAAATGCATAATTAAGGATAGTCGAATTGGTTTCTTTTTACGAACAACTTTACGAAAAAAACTGTCAGGATCATTTTATTACCTAAGTAGCCAATCTTCCATTTGGCGATCTTGAAAATCATCTACACCCGTTTTCCTTGGACTTTTTACGAAAATTTGCTACATTTTAAATTGTCATCCCTGTAAAACTATAACCAATAACAAATTAACAAAACAAGTCTTTTTTCCAGATTGGTGTGTGGAAATCATGGCAGAAAGAAGGTCTGGACATCAAAGACATAGTCTGGCCCGGTAATAGTCACACCCCTCCTCAAGGTGTCCCTGAAAAATTCCACCTCAAAATCACATTCCTAGAGGAGCCGCCTTATATTAAGTTGGCACCGCCTGATCCAGTGACAGGGAAATGTTCTATGGACAGAGGAGTACTGTGCAGGGTTGCCAGCGATGAAGCCATAACAGAGTAAGTAGTAATACTCCTTAAGTAGTAGTCCTTCATGCCAGATGTCAGATTTTTTGCTGTTGTTAAAGTATCACAGCGCTTTCTTTTTTTTTATTTTGTCCATGAGGCCAAATACCGTGGATTATAGGCTAGTCACTGTTTTATATATTTTTTACTATATTGTAATTAATAATATTAGACAATGATTTAAACTAAATATTCTTGTATAACCTTAGAGGAATAGCCAATTTAATTTACCATTTGTGACTGTTTTCATATCAGTGTTCCATGTTTACTTATTTTTCTGAAGCCACCACAACGTTTCACCTTGATTGCCTCGTGCCATTTCACAAAATAGAACGATAAATATAAGCCCGTGATATAAAAATTAGTTCCCACGTTTCTGAAATTGATCGAGACGCGCCGTGATTTAATTAAACCATTTTAGAACAAACAAAAACTTCTACGAAAAATTCATTTTTCTCAAAAAATCTCCATAAGTTTTTCCTCTTGTAAAGGCAATCTGAGGACATACTGTATACTTAAAAGGCAGACGCTGCCATTCAGTATTATTAACTAAATAATAACAATTTTAACCCAATATTACTAGAAGTTTGAATTTTGTTTACTGAATGTAATAACCAGATTTCAGCGACATCCTGAATTGGTTTCAAGTTGGTTCATTTCAGCGAGACGTTCAAATACATCTGCCGCATTTAATTAATACATAGAGTATATATGTATAGAGTGCGAACTACATAGGCTAAATAGAATGAAGGGAAATTAGATCCAAAGGTAACATGTGTTTCTTTACACGTACAAACTAGCGAGTTGAATTAAATTAGAATTTTTAATCTTGTTTTGTTGGAGTTAAAATATAGTTGAGAATATTTTACAAAATTGTATACACTTTCATATAGAGAGAAGACCAGGCTACTAGTAACATAGCAAGTTGCCGGACGAATTTAAGTTTACCCGTTTTGCGTTCGCACTGGAGAGTCACTGCCGGCTAGTCGGCTGGTCAGGCAGTACGCAGTTGCACTTGTGCTTGGACGGGTCGGTCGTGACAGACTAGGAATATGACGCGAGGAGTGCCGTGTATTTATTATTTTCATTTTAAGTGTTTACCTTCACTTAAGGTAACATTTAAAATAAAAATACTTAAATATTTATTATTTGAGTGTGCTTCCTGTGCCAAAACTAAAAATAAATAAATTCTCTAAACCCAAAAAAACTATAATATTACTCTAAATAAAAAAAAGTTATAACAAGTGTTCAAAAAGACCACCTTCTTGTGCTAAACAGAAGCCTAGGCGGTCGTAAAATCCCCGTCTGACATTGGCTAACATATTAGGGCTAATAGTTTGGAAAGCCTTTAGTATTTTTACTTGAAGCTCATCCAGATTATTAGCCCTATTATGACCATACACTTTGGGTTTTACATAACCCCACAAAAAGAAATCATTGGGAGAAAGATCTGGTGATCTAGCGGGCCACAAAATAGTTCCATATCCACTAATTAAACGGTTGGGAAAAGTATTGTTCAAATATTCTTGAACAATACGGGCATTGTGGGCAGGGCAACCACCTCACCAATTTGACTACTTGAAAACGTGGGATTTTGATCCGCGGTAGCACAAATGAACACTTGTTTTAACTCCTGTTCTTCATTAATCAACACATCAGGCTTTTTGTGTTTTTGTGGGGACACGCACCCATGTGATTCAAAATTATTAATAACTCTTGATATAGTAGAATAGATGGAATTGGCCTGTTTACAAAAGTTTGTGGAAAATTTTTTTGTATATCCTGATAAGACCTATTTTGGAAATACCATTTTACAATTTGAATTTTCTCACGAACTTCATAAACATCCATTATTTTACTTAAAAAATAAATTTTACACGAGAACTGTCGCGAGAATCTACGTATTCGTTGTGGCTATTAAAACACGAATAAATAGAAACTCTGAAACATTCTTATCACATATCGACCTATTTTTAATTTATCGCATTTTTTTCGCCTGCTTTTTATCCGGTGGACGGGTATACGCTAATTCGTCCGGTTCTGCCTATGTTACCATAAAATAATAAATACAAGAAGAAGTGTCAAGTCAATGTTAAATTATGGAAACAGCGTGGCTGCCTGGGTAACTAATTTTCAGATATGGCGGCTGGGACATTTGACATGATTTGACATGACATAGACACTTCATTGACATGACAATTTCAATTTTATGAAATTTATTTCCGTTTCCGGTTTTAATGGCGGGCTGTTCAGGAGGTTTAAATGAGGGTTAATATACTTTTTACTTTTTCTATTAAAGAGCTATAAACCCATAAACTACTGTATCAATATCAAAATATTTAAATAACATCAGAGATGCTGTGTTAAAGTGAAATAGTAAAGTAACAATGCACTGACTTACAGAAACTTGAAGATAAATAAATGTTTTCACAGCTTCACGGGCGTAAAACTAACTGGAAGCAAGAAAAAGACAACAGGAATCCACGCAAAACCTGGAATCAAAAAAAATATGTAAAAAAACATAAATATAGGTACATAAGACTGTTGTGAATTAAATCAAACAGGACTTGAATGAAAATAAAATGAATAAAAAATATGATACATATACATCTAATACCTCATTTGTATTTTAAAAATAATCTACATACATAGCATTATTGCTATGAAAATACATAATAGGTACCTATGTGATATGTAATTACGCATTTCTGTTCATCTTGTAGATAATTAATGTAAGCTAATAATAGTTCAATAATCATAATTTACCTTGTGCAACTTGCTTTCAATTGCTCAAAATCACCGATCAGTCTTTAAAGTAGAGATACGGAAAAATCCTTGGTAAAGAATATCCCAAGATCCTTGGATCTAAAGTTAAAAAATATAAAACAGTTAATATATTACCTATTTTTACATATAATATGGCTCATACCTATTACACGCAGAAACGTCGATTTCATCATTTTCTTCATGTAATTAATACCATATATACTTTATTAAAGTGTTAACAAGGAACTTTATATCAAAAAACATCTTTGTACTTATAAATTTCAGCCGAAATATCATAAACAAACTTCCAATCAAATCTAAAACGGCAAAAAATAAAATGGCGCCCGACCTTGCCAGAGGCCTCGGAGTTGACACATGGCTGACACACAGACAAAAGAAGAGGACGCCGACGTGCATAAAAATGTTCCGTAACTGAAATTGGCAGAAATCATATAGAAATATTCAGATTTTTGTCTAGGACAGTCTAGAAGGCCATGCTTTCTGCCTGGGTAAGACCGCGCCAGAACTGTTTCCAATTTTCCGGTTTACTGTCACCCCCCTGTATGTTACTACTACGGTGGTCCGGTCTGTATATGCTTGCTTCATCCACGTTACCGTAGATGGAGCTGAAAGTTTTGGTAGGGTATATATAAACAAACAAAATACAAGAAGCTGAAAAAGGGGCCAAAAAACCCTACATATATGCTGCTTATTCTCTGCATTAAGTTCATCAGACTGAAGGGAACAGCGAACAGCCATTCGATGAACGGTTTCGGAGATTTATCTCCATCGTCAGGCCGACTTTGCTGTAACCTTCAATCTGACAAAACGAAAAGCAGAGAATAGCATTTGAGTACAAAACGTACTACTATGGATAGTGCTAGACGCTCTCTCCATCTAGCGGTAGCTGTGACAATCACAGATCGTACCGCCAAAATTAAAACCAGCGGCCTACTGGACAAACATGCTTGCTTCATCCACGTTACCGTAGATGGGGCTGAAAGTTTTGGTAGGGTATATATAAACAAACAAAATATAAGAAGCGGAAAAAGCGGCCAAAAAAACCTACATATATGCTTATTCTCTGCATTAAGTTCATCAGACTGAAGGGAACAGCCATTCGACGACCGGTTTCGGAGATTTATCTCCATCGTCAGGCCGACTTTGCTGTAACCCTCAATCGGACAAAACGAAAAGCAGAGAATAGCATTTGAGTACAAAACGTACTACTATGGATAGTGCTAGACGCTCTCTCCATCAAATATGTTTAAAATTGTTAATAGAAGATGGAATTTATTTTTTAGAGTATTTTGTTAATTAAAACTGAAAATAAAAAGACACATGGTGTATTTTAGTAATATAATTAAACATAATCAGGGATTTCTACGCTGTAAACTTAATTACTTCGTTCAAACGCTTAAAAGTAAGCTTCTAGCGTCAACGCTTTAGGCTGAAACAAACTACGGAGTGTAAAGACCAACATAGACGTCATTCTTTGTTGCCAGTGTTAGTTCGAGGTTGTAAAATTCTTCGAGTCAGCCCACAGGCAGTGTGAGACTGAAAATAGTTCATCTGGCCTATATTAAAAAATTCTTGTCTCTAGTGTTTACTTTTTGATTATTCGACTGATCTTTTCTGACGTTTCTTATTCGTATGGAATATATATGTTTTTCATTTATTTTCCCTTTTATGTTTGGGTGCTGTGTTTCTTCTTATTGAATAAAGAAAATTTTATCTACGTGGAGAAAACTGAGAGAAAAAAAATCAACGTATAGGATGACCTTTAAGTAAAAAAATCTGCTAAAAGCTCGAAAAACCGTGGACATGGAAAATATTATATAAATATGTAAAAGTTGATGTTAAAAGAGAACATACACGGCTTTGTACTATAAATAACTCTTTTAATAATTTCTGAAAAATGTATGTTTTTTGACAAGACTCGAGTATTTTACTGTCTGTGAAATTTTTTAGGTCGTTTTGCTTTTATAAAAATACGAAATATAAAAAGAATTTTTTGTTCAGTTTCATACCGTATCGTTTTTTTCTATGTAAAATTCTTTCTTGTTTGTTCCAAAAAAAAATATGTTTATAATTTACTCTTAAAAAACACTTTTATCAAAATGAGTTACTTTTATATCATGCTTTCTGTTTTTGATATCTCGTTAATCTAAAAAATTATCATCTAAAGAATGGATTTAATCAAAAAATTGCTATAAAATCATACAGTA